TTATATACACTTCACACTGGCGGATCTGGGGGGGGGGCCCAGGGGCCCGGCCCCCCCCCCCTTGGGTGGGCCCAGAAAAAAAAAATTGTGCCCAAAAAAAATTTTGAGCCAGAAAAGGCCTTAAGGCCCCAAAAAGTAGGCCTTTTTGGTCATAAATGGGCCTACTAAGGCCTTATTTTTTAATTTTTGGCCAAATTATGTAGAAAATGGGCCTCAAAATTTCAAAATTTGGGCCCACTTTTGGGGTTTAGGGGCCCATATTTTTTGCCGCGCAAGCGCGGAACTTTTTTTCACAGACCCGAAGTTTGGGCCCCCCCCCTTGTTGGTTCCCAGATCCGCCCCTGCTTCAAATATTCACTTTTAATAGCTGTTTACACCTTGTTCAGTTTCCTCTCTGAAGGTTAATTGATTTGTAATTTATAATTTTGGGAGTTGGATATTAATACACAGAATCGACTTTTATCATATATCTTTGATATTAACGACTTATATCACATAGCTTTGAACTCTCACGAACTCACTTCCCCATCAAGATTAACATGCCCAATGTAGTTTCAAAACTGAAAACACGCAAAAATAATCAACATACACCACCAAAATTTAAAACATATCGATTTCAAAGCGTATTGATCATCGATCATTGATTGGTCTAAAATGACCCCAAAACCACATTTTACAAAGTCTAAAATTCATTGTTTCATCCTACCATCAAATTATGAAGACAAAAAGTGCTCCTAAAACCAAAATAAAAATAGTCATTACTTATTGAACACCTTGTAGATCTTTGCAATATCAATGTGATTCATTTTTTTAAAAAAAACATGAACTTGTTTTCCGTAGAAATAAGGAATAGAATGATAACAATGATTATATCTAAAAATTCAAACATTTTATGTTAGAGACATATATCTTTTGTTATTTTGAATTGTTTGTGGTTTGACTAACAACTACTGTATGTAACCTCGTGTGATGTGTTTCAGCGCTGCTGTGTTACTCTTGAAGTACGGGGTCAAAATGATTTTTTGATGCTTTTAGTTACACGAGGTCACGACTTTACTGCACACGATACCAAGTAAATACATCTGACTTAATCAAAAATTAGTTCCTCAAAATATGAATGTATTTTTCGTTAACATATAAACACAGAGGTTTATTGATTGTTCATTTTTGTATAAACAAATCTTCATTTAACCAATTTACTTGAATCTGACATAGTTAAAAAATAGTTGAAAAACAAACTAAAGTATTCATAATCTGGAATACTGTAGCGAGAACATGCTCTGAATTTTTTACGCATTATAAGTCAGTTTAATGATAAAATGGTTTAACTGGTGAATTTGGTCGAAAATCGTCACATGATGTTTTATCTTTGGGCGCTATACAATTCAATGTTTTATAGCATCGTTTGCACATGTTTGAGCAGTCTGGTTCCCAGTATTTAGTAAATGGTGCCTCGAAAGTTATTGCCCATGTCCCCACTACCTTATTACACCGGCTTATTAGTCAAACAGAGTTGGGCTCGGCTACGTACAGTGTATAAAGTCTCAGAAATGAGCGTCTCCTACTGTTACATACAACATATTGGTACATATAAAAGTACACACGACATAGAAACGACATAGAAAATGTTTGAAATGGTTCAACAATGCAAACTTCATTTTGAGACAAAGTAAAATGACATCATGGAAATTTGGAACGAAATTCAAAATTGTTTATAACTCATTATATTATAACTTAAATTCCTAATATATATTCGCGTCAACGTAATCTTCATAACTTCAAATTCATAATTCAAATAGCCTGATAGTGATTAGGGATGTACCCGAATAAACCCGAAACATTTTCTTACGATATACTCTGTAAAGACGACAAATATAATTCCAGCAAATAAGAAATACCAACCTGATTTTAGGCGATGTACAGTTCAATAGTTATCCTTTATGATGCCTTTATCCTGACTTTGGTCTAAACTCTTATTTTCATTAGATCAAATTATCCAAATTCGCTTTTGCCATTTTGAAAAGTATTCAGACATTTTGAATTTTTAGGTTGATGACTGGGTTGCCATTCTCAATGCGCGTTTGTTTGACAAGTTATTATATTTTATTTCTAATCTTTGACAAGTGTTGACATTGCTCAATCTAATTGGTCTCCTTCTTATCAAGATTCGTCATGTTTTTGCCTCAATGATATCAGCCGCGTATACTACCTTGTCTTCAAAATCAAGTATAAACCACTTCAGAGGAAGACATTTTGATTGCTCTTGAAGATACCATGATGATACTATCTCTACAATTGTATTTTTTGTTCTAGGGAGTTCTATGAACACGTTGGACGTTCTCTACAATGTGACAATAAAGTAATATAAAATAATAAATAACCTAGTTTTATAACCATAAGAATGTCTTTACTCTATCGCCAAACATGCCAAATGTTAAGCAACCTTTGACACTCGAGTGTCAATGGTTAAAATATTTGATATGAAATTCTAAAAAAACGTAGATACATGTTTATTATTGCAATTGAAAATGTAAGAACAGAAGAATGCCTACTTTACTATTTTTAACACGGACCTGTTAAAGCATTCGTTTTCATAAACAATTATCTATTTCATGAAGGATATGGCTTATACACTGTTACATGATTCATAAGCTAAGTATGTTTTAAGTTGGTCTGTAGGCTGTGTATTCTGATTTCTTCCCAACCCAACCCATGAAATATAACATAAACAAATATCAAAAAATTCAAGTAGATTTATAACTTTAATTGTCAGGAATACGATGTGATCATATTAGACCCGACCTCCCACACCTTTTCCAAAACAAATTCCACCGACATTTCCAGGGAAAGCAAAGGAGCACGTAGGTTATCGCAAACTTGAATTATGAATATTTTCTTATCATAAACACGGATAAATCTTTTAGACCCATTTATTATCTCCAAGAAAAACATATATGATGATAATTAGACTAAGTGATATAAACATCATGGTTAAAAAAATATCATAGAATAAAGTACCAAAAAGAACTTGTTTCCCAATATGGTCACGCGTAATTGTACCTTCCCAAAGGTGGATACGCGCATAGAATTATTATTACATAATATCGTCAAAGGGTCAAGGTAGCCGCTTCTCCCTGACTGAGTGAAGTTGAGTTGCGCTAACCAGTGTCATGTAAATAAGGGTTATGTACTGGGAGGTTTTGGATATGGGGTTTATCCATAGGGAGATATGCATATTTATCTGAGGGACCGCACTGATGTTATAACCATTATACAGTATATTATGTGGATGTCTGGTGCACGCAGAGTAATCTATTATATTTTTAAAAAACCAGTAGTTTTCTATTTTTTTTTTAATTTTGTCAAATTTCTTTCAAAGCGGGAAGATATGCCCTGGAGCGGGAGATATGGCGGGAGATATGGAGGTTCTCGATATGGAAACCTCAAAATCAGGATATGAGATATATCTTATAAACTTATTTCCCTAAAAGTCATAACACGCATAACTTTGCAAATTGAACATAGTTTAAAAGAAAAATCCAAATAACTTATTGCCATTATTGTACCTTGCTCATAGAATTGATATCGCCAGTTGGTCAAGGCAAGATGAACAAGTAACATAATCATTTCATTGGAGACGAGTAATTTTCTATATTTTATTTCACAAAATCAATATTATTACAATAATATTTTAGCTAGGCTCAAAGAGCTAGGTAGCCAAAGAAAAAAGGCTTTAATGTGTGAAATGTCACCACTTGCCATTTGTTACTAATTCTGCATGGAAACCACCAACCACCAACACTAACCACCATCCACAAAAAGACCATATCAATATGTCACCACTTTTGGTGGTGACATTAAAACAATCAAACCATAATTTTACCATTAATAACTGGAACATGATATCATAATGAAAAAATAAAATAAAATATATCATTCTCAGTCTTTGTACTATGTGAGTTTCTCCAGCACAAAACTAAAGATATTATCCTTCCTCAGACAAACAAGTTTTACTCTTGTTTTATTCTGAACAGGGCTAATTAATAGTACTCATTCATATACATCACTGATGAACAAGTAATTTCTTATCAAGTTTGAGGATGCATGAACTATATGTATTGAGATTTAAGGAAACTGCTCATACATAGATTGGGTGTCCCAAGAAATGGGCTACTTTTTCACAAGTATTCTCTCAGCAATTGATAGGTATATTCTTTGAAAATTTTAATTGAAGAACAACAGAGTATCATTAGCAAGTGCTATATTGAAGGATACCACTAACGTATAATAATAGCATTGTCAAATTAAAAACAGCTTGCCAAAATAGGAGGATGGTTTAGGAGGATGGTTTTACTAAGTGACTCAATTTTCATATAACCCTTATGTATTTAATAGTTATGCAAATTAAAATATGTCCAGTAAAAGAAAATGTTATCCGTCCAATACAAGAAAAGATATTTCACTTTTTGTGATTTTGTAACATGGAGTTTATGGGGAATCTACTCAAACTAGAAGTCACATTTTCAAAAAAAATTAAATTTTCAAAGTTGATAAACAATTTTCAAAACCATATTTCTACATGTACATTTACATGTAGATTTCAAATATGACATCACTTTGACTGAAATTTGTATATTTCATGACGTAAATCAAGATTATTTCTACCCGCATCTCGTCTATTCCTTAATGACTCATCTTTCACCCCCCATCCTCCTCAAAACACTTAAGCTTATTGTTTTCACTGAAAGGCATCATTAACCCTTCCAAACTGAAATTTTGAACAAAAAGGATGATGGATACAGAGAACAATTCAATAATTCAATAGACCTGACAAACAGACAAACTGATTTACAGATGCCATCACCTGATAGTTGGCACAAACTCATTCTGATACTCATGGCATCTCTCTCTCTCTGTTGCATCGCAGATGCTCTCGTCTCTCCAGGATAGAGATGGAGAGGGTATGGCTTACCTCGATGGCAGCTCTATATTGGATTTTCTGACATGCATTTTTGAATTTGTCACTATACTCAAATAATATGTAGCCAATATATTTCATATGATACCCATAGGCTACTTTACTTTTGGGGACACCCAATATTCATATCCATAACAAATAGATATTCCATCCCATTCCTATTTTCTAGAAAATCCATCAGTTCTGACTTTATTTTAGGATAATCCTTTAAATTTAAGGTTATCTGACACAAAATGAAAGCGGGTCTTGAAGTGTAAATACATGTATAAATGTGTCTGAACTCAATTCCTTTTTGATCAGATATCTCAATAGATTTTTTTCCAGAAAATAAAATAAGGATTGTAAGGGAAAACTTGGCATGCTTTATGAGAAGATTGCTCTTAGCATGTGAGTACAAAATAGTACAGAATGCACAATAATACGAGATAATATTATTCTTAGAGTGGTTCTAATTTGGAACTCTTTTTATTTGGGTCATCTCTTTTTGCAAGTTCCCTCTCAAAGTTTTTCTGAGCCTCAGTCATTGAGATCTGGTCCTGGTCCACATTGATCTGGTGGGTCTTCTTTGAGTGTCTAATGACATCACGTTTATCATTATATCCCTTCCCACATACGAAGCAATGGAAGCGTTTAACATCAGTGTGTGTATACCAATGGCGCTTGAAGCCTTCACTGGACGAGAGTTTTTCACCACAAATGGAACAAACATAGGAATTAGGTCCATGAGTGTTCATGTGTCTACTAAGGAAATCCTTGAGTGGGAATCTTTTGTCACAAATATGGCATTTGAAATCAAGAGGTTTTTTCATCTTACTGGGATGTGATCTTATCATATGACGATGTAGATTACCAGACTGATTAGTCTTGTGGCCACATATAGAACACATGTGATCTCTACGACGTTCATGGACTGCCTGCATGTGTGTCTTCAAACACTGGAAGCCACCTGTCAGAACCTTGCCACATATCTTACACTGGCCCTCCTGCAAATCCTCAAAGTGTTTCACGAAATGCAGATCAAAACTCCTGATCATCATAAAGCGAATGTCACACTTTGGGCAGTGGTACTTTTTGGGTGGCTCCTTGTGCTCAATTGCAAGATGAGAGGCCATTTTGTGAGAGACGGTGAATTCCTTGGGGCACTTGTAACACTTGAACCTGCATACCCAGTTATCCTTATATATTATATATGGATAGGAATCTGCAAGCAACAATAATAAATAAGAGGGTTATTAAAAAAGGGATCTTCGATTCACTGCTTTAGTCATTCTAATAAGAGCTATTTGCACAAATATATGTTAAAATGATTTACTAATGTTATTTCTATGTTTATCATGTACAAAAATTTCAAGGACTATGAAGAATAAACAAAACTTGAACCTAATAGGGATCATCAACATTATAAAATTAGACACTATGTTGATGTAAAAATTGTAATTTAAGATTTGTTCCGTGTTGGTGCACTCCTTCCTTCCAACTAGACTAATGGTAAATCAGAGTTATTTTGAAAAATGGGCATATTGAAATTGGCTTTAGAGCAGTATAGTATGGAGCCTTCAGTATAATCAATCTATTACTGTTTGAGTTTAAGTTTAAAATCAAAAAGCCACAAATAAAGACTCAAATGAGGCTCTACAGGGTGGGCCAATGAAAATTGGAACGTTTTTTAATTTATTCAATTGCCTCTATTTTTGCACTTCAATCCACAAAACTTCAGATAATGGTAAAATGATTATTTGTGAAAATGTTGAAGGTAATAATATGAATGTATGATTATTTTTGGCTTGTCATGGCCATGATCTGTATTCTGGGTGTGTCATGATAAATTTCCAAATTCCCTCTGCTTGAGACTGTCACTGCTGAAAATACAGTATCTTTCATACCATACAATATGTATCCTTCAAATGGTCTCATCCCAATTTCCATCAACTAAAACATATGAAGTTATCTTTCGGAGAAGTAAGACGTGCCTCTCTTGGATAATATAGCTTAACTGACCTCAGCTTCTTTCAAAACTGGCACAATATGTATTAAAACCTGTCATTTAAGCCAAGAATGACTGTCAAACACAGCTCAGACTGATTGTTCAGGTGGGCGGAGGACAAGTTCAGGAATCCCTTGCGTTGAGTAAAAAAATTGGAGGTTTTTCAATCGATTGTAACTTTTTTGTTATTCATGTATTATCTTCAATACTTTAGACAATTGAAAAACAATTCATTGGCAACATGTTCTGTAATAGGAATATACAAGCTCAACATTTAATTACTGAACATGTCCTCCACCCACCTGAACAATCAGTCTCAGCTGTAATTGAAAGTCTTGCTTGGCTAAATGATAGGTTTGAGTCATATTGCGCCAGTTTTGAAAAAAAGCTGAGGTCAGTTAAGCTATATTGTCCAAGGGAGATGTGTCTAGCTTCTCCTAGAGATAACTTCATATGTTTTGGTTGATGGAAATTGTGTTGAGACCATTTGAAGGGCATATGTTGTATGGTATGAGATACTGTATTAAGAGCAATGATGTCTCAAGCAGAGAAAATTTGGAAATTTTTCGTGACACACGCAGTATACAGATCATGGCCATGACAAGCTAAAATTAATCATACCTACCTATTTTTGTCTTCAACATTTTCACAAATAATCATTTTACCATTGTCTGAATTTTTGTGGACTGAACTGCAATAATAAAGAAAATTGAATAAATAGAAAAATGTTCCAATTTTTATTGGCCCACCCTGTATATACAGAAGTGTAGGGCAAATCGTCTATAAAAATATTGTGGCACACTTCTATAATATCTTTCACTAATTGCCTGTTAAATATCAGAAAATCATCTTCAAATTTTGACTAGAATAGAATTTCAAACATACCTTTGTGGCTAAGCTCATGGAGAACTCTTGATTGGTTGTGGGCAAATATTCGTTTTGGACATATTGTACATGAAACCATATTGTGAACAGTCTCAAGATGCTTCCTTAGGTCTTCCACATTATCAAATGTCTCATCACAATGAGTGCATGCTCCCTTAGTCACTACAAGTAACATAAATTAATATTAAACATTTCTTGTGATGAGTGCATACTGCCTTGATTACTGAAAACAATAGAAATTGTCAAATGTTTCATCGCAACAAGTACATGGTCCTTTGGCCACTGAAAGATTTCCACTGGAGCACCCTCCATCTAAATCAGGTATTGTTCTTAAAGCCCCAAAACCTGAGGAGGGCGGACTACTGACGAGTTCTACTTGCAGAGAGTAGCAGAGCATGTTGATGTTTATCTAAATGAAATGAAACATTCCATCACAATAGGAGATATCTTTGGATACTGAAATCAAGGGAAATTATCAAAAGTTTTATCATAATAAGTGCATGGTCTTTTCGGTACTGAAAACAATAGAAATTACCAAATATTTAATTGCATTGAGCCCATGGTCCTTAAAGTCCCCAAACCACTTTGGCTTATATTGTAGTCTTACCCATGTTATCAAAGTCTGATATGTGAAATTTTTTATTCTAATTTCAAAAAATGGTTTTTGAAGGACTTTTTGTACGAAAAATCGTGAATTTCTTTTAAACTAAATTTTAGCGGTTACACATGTCTTTTAATAAGCGATAATTCATACCAATGCACTGATGCACAGCATTTATCCTCACATGTTTTTGCCGAAAAAATAGGTTCATAATTAAACGAGAAATGAACTCATCAATCCATGAAAATGGTTCAGAGAAAAATGCTTTTCAAAATTTTAATTCTCATAGAAACCATTATGGTACAATAATATCTAAAACATAGTATATTCTTCCTTTTAAAGGCCCACTATACTTTATTTAGAAGAATAAAGAAAAAATAATCATTGAAACATGTTACTCACACACTCACTCAAATATGACACAAAGTTTTATTTGCTTTAAGGATGTTCCCTGGACGAAGTTGAAAACGATGAACACCAACCCCTAATTTTTCTTTTCAAAATGTGAAGTACATAGCATAACTAAGTGTTTCTGTGAGTTTAAGAAAAAGTTAAATATTCAAAAGTGTGTTTTGGGGTGAAAACCTGATTTTTAACATGGGTTTCAATGAGAAAGTGCCACGCCCACTTTTGTCAAATATTGACACTTTAGAGGCCTCTTGCTCAGAAAAAAGCACACTAACATATGGTTTTTAAAGTTTTAATATTCTTTGTTGCCCGTGAGAATCCCAGAAAACCATTTTTGAGAAAAAGTTAAATACTATTGAATATTTTCCTATCTGACCAGGGAACATCCTTAACTTCGCCGTAAAAACTTGATATTATAAAGCTTGGCAGATCTAAATTATTTTTTGATAATTTATTGTAAGCTAATGCTGTCCGTTTGAGCTGTTGTTGATGTCAAATGAAAGATAAGGTTTTTATCAATACATTGGGCAATACTATGAAATTCAAATGTGAGTCTTTATTTTGCCCAAAAATGTTGAAAATATGCAAAGTGGGCCTTTTACCTGGTTAGACAATCAGCATTGATTTAATTTTGAAGTTTAGCATATCAAGAAAAGATTGACATAGAAAAAGAAAAGATTTTCATTTTTTTTCAAAAAAATGTTTGTCACCTGAGTGAGTCATTGATGACATCACTCAGGTTGCAAAAGAGCAATCTTTGTATATAAGGTGTTAAAAAGTAAAAAGATACTTTTTTTGAAATGTATGGTGGGCACTGGAAACAATACAAATTATTGCAAAAGAGCAATCTTTGTATATAAGGTGTTAAAAAGTAAAAATTTTGAAATGTATGGTGGGCACTGGAAACAATATAAATTATTATAGAAAAAGACTTACTGGATCGTTTTCCACCGGGTAAATCATTAAAAACAAGAAGTCCCTCAGGGTCGTCATGAGCATTGCCCTCGTAGCGTTGAGTAATAATTGTTCTCTTGGATTCCTTCTCTTTTACTGTTTCGTACTCTGAAATAATTTTTCAAAAATTTCATCACAACAATAAATAAACAAGGCATTAACATGCAAAATGTCACCACATGGCATTTGTTGCAGATCCCTAAGGCCAAACAGCAACTGCTGCCACGAAAAAGTAGGAGACTAACAATATGACATAATAACAACATAAATACTAGATAACAGCAATGGCAAGGTGTAACAAATCCTATTGAACATATGTGAGTGTCAGACAACATTGCTAGAAACCATGTTTTAAAATGGCTACCATGTATTGCTAAAGAAATCATACATCATTCTTCAATGTATATATACTGTACATATGAAAATATCAACAAAATCATTTAGATGAGACATGATATAAATAACACGTAAAAATAGCTATATCTAAGAATTCACATATTCAATTTCAACAAAATCACTCCACTAATTTTCAAGTTATAGCAAAAATACTTGCAAATAATACATAAGAGGAGATTTCCAAAATCTGAGAGATGCCTTTGTCAGTGTCACCTTTGAGAAGTTATTGTGTCCCTTTAAATGTGACTAAGTGTGAATTTCTCTTTAACCAAGACAGGCGTAAATTAGATAATTGGATACAAAGTCTAAAACTACATGTTAAAAGTATCATTACAAATCTGAAGTAGAAAGACTGGTGACCATAAAGTCATGTGACACTGATTTAAGGTGTTAAAGAAGGACTTCATTTTGAAAGCTGGACATTACATTTATAAATTATACATTTCAATGATAAAGTGTACTTTATTGAAGTTTATTCCACTCTGGTATACTGAGTTGATTGAGGGACTTATTCTTCTCCATATGCTTGAGGGAAGGTGTCATATCATGTAAGCACTAAAAAATATAAGTTAATAGTGTCCCTTTCAATGTGACGTCATGAGCCTCATTCATAAGAAACTATGTTTCTGTTTTGCTCTATCACGTCAGTTTTTATTGTATCTTACAGATGGAGGTCCATGACAGAACCATTTTTCAGTGGCAGTTTACCACTGACCATTCCCAGACAGGGCCCTAAGTGTGACATCACAACACAATGCTGATCAATTTGCATATGGTTGTTAATCTATCTACAATAAGAGAATATACGAGGGCTGATCCAAAAGTCTTGGACGCCCTGCTCTAACCTTGCTATTTTCTAATATAATTGCACGAAACTTTCAGATAATAAAGATCAACATCTTAACAACTTTGTGTATAAGTTTCAACAGAAAATAATATATTTTAGCTTTTTGGAAAATATTTTTTAACACTGGGTCCCTGCCACCCGGAACGGTATTTAAATATAGCAAATCACGTCACAACTGTTATAATATGGCAAATACTTTAGGTGTAGGTGCACAACCTAACACCAGTCGTGATATGAGAGAATTTCCAATTTTATATCTGAGTGGCATCTGCCATCATCATCTTCACATATTAAGACCTACTTTTCAACTTATTTTCCACGAATTTGAACCCATCTTTCATACCGCTTTGCCAATGAATGGAAGACATTAATGAAACCGCCATTCCTTATGTGATACAAATGCTGTTGGAGTGCCACTCTAAATAAAACCTCATCCAATGAGTAAAAAAACATTTTCTTTCACCCCTCCTTTCAACTTCGAGAAAAGGAAGAAAATCACTCGGAGCCATATCTAGACTGTACTGTGCATATGGTAGATGCTAAAGGTCAATAATAGTGAAAATATCTTGTAGTATTCTTTGTTCCACTTTGATTTCTTTCATGTTCTGCATTCCAGCAGCCATTTTGGAGCAAAAATCATACCAGAATGAGGGTTGCTTGTCTGATGTCATTTTCATAGAATTTGACATATATGATCATTGTCATATGTGACATTATAATTAAAACACAATTAATTGGTTCCCTAGTAAGAAAGGAAGTAAACTAACATGGTTTAACATTCACAATTCAAAGAAAGACAGTGGTCAAGACTTGCGAAACAAGTCAAATGGCGGCAACATTTAAGGTTGAAAGTTGTCATGTGTGAATACCGTTCCGGGTAGCAGGGTCCCCATGTTAAAAACTGTCTAGAAAACTACATAAAACATATCATTTCTCCATGAAATTAATACACAAAGTAGTTAGGTTGTTGGTCTTTATTATTGGAAAGTTTAAAGTAATTTTATCAAAAACCAATAAATTAGAGCAGGGTGTCCAAGACTTTTGGATCACCCCTCGTATATGCTGGAATCTGCCAGAATCTGACTGAGACAGAGACTCAAACTGAAATCGGCAACACCAAGGAGTAGCAAATCCCACCAAACAATATATAAATCATCAATCTGTACAGTCACAATTTAATATTTACATTCTACTCTTCCCTTCAATATAATATTTGAGTTCATTGTAGTATCATGCATGTAACCCTACTTTAAAGATATCTCTCTCTATGGTGAACCATTTTGGATTTTCTGAGACACAAATCAGAAAAACAATACCATAATTGTGATGTACTCTAAAATTCCTTCAATTTGAGTATAATATAGCCAAACATGTACTTCTATTAAGAGATCAGAAAATCATTGCATTTAAGGCACCGATACTTCTCTATATCCCAAGTTAACTTTGTTCATAATTATTAAATGTTGCATCAGAATGAGTGTTTGCTCCATTGGGCACTAGAAACAGACTTTTCAAATGGTTCCTCTCAAGAATGCATACATCCACTTGGCAAGTGAATACAACAGAAAGTATTAAATAATTAATTGCAATTAGTGCATACTCCTTCAGTCAATAAAAACATTATTTTAAGAATTAGATAGGCTTATTTATGTCTCATCACAAAAAGTTCATACCTCCTATGACTCCATAATGATCAAAATGATATTGGAATAGCAGACTTACTTGATTGTTTTCCATCATCAAGAAGTCCCTCTTGACTGTCTTGCGCTTTGCCCTCATAGCATTGGGTAATGATGGCTCTATTGAGTTCCTCCTCTTTTTCAGTTTCCTTGTGTGTAGCATCTTCATTGGTAGCACTTTCCTCCCATTTCTTCAAAACACCCTTTTCTTTGGCCATGGTTAGATACTTCATCTTTGAGGCATACATAAGTTTTTCTTCTTCACTGGCTTCATCAGGGAGATGGAATGTTGGACAGCTTTGCTTAGTTTCTTCATCTGACTTGTCCATTTTCTCTTCTTTGTCTTTGACCATGTCAAGATATTTCATCTTAGAGGCTTGCATCACATGCTCTTCAGTTATACTATCATTCTCTTTTGGATCTTCTGCAGAACTTGATGGTTTATCATCTACCTTAATTTTATTATGTTTCTTTTTGAACAGAATGTCAATACTATAACTACTATCACAACTTATGTCGCTATCATCATGGTCAATATCATCTGTGTTATAAAGATCATCGACATCAGTGGCATCCATATCAACAGTGTCACTATTGCCAAGACTGTCATCATTATACTCATTCTTGTCTTTGTCAACATTATTGTCACTATCTCCATTATCATCATCATTATCATCTTCATCATCATTGCCACTATTATTCCCATTACCTTTAATATGATCCATACCAAAAGTGTCATCATTATGATCACTTTTGCTATCCTCATCTATATCATCACAATCAACAACATCCTCATCAACATCATCAGCAATGCCATCACGTTTAGCATATTCATTGTCAATCTTATCATCCAAGATATCAACATTTTCAAGAATACCTAAGTTGCTGCTCCTATCATCAGTGCAGGCTTGATTGATACTCATTTTGTCAATGTCAACTGTATAATTGTCATTTGTTTCAACTTTAGCAGAGTGAGATTTGATCAATGGATCAATTGGTGTTTTAATTCCTTCAGCTGGTTCTATTGTGTCAGAACAGTCAAAATGAGAGTTTGCTGTTGTGGTTTCATTCTTAGTTGAAAGAGCCCCCGCAATATCATCAGATGAGGTTGTAGACACATTATTTGAATTACTGGTCATGTCCTGGTCAATCAGATTGTTCTCTATCTCAGACATATCAATGGAGTGCACAGTCAGGTTATCTTTGGGTTGATCTGATTTGATCTTGGATGACCAGGTTGTCTTTTCTTTCTCAGAATATTTGGCAGAAACAACAATTTCATCCATCTCATATCCAGATTTTTTGTCAAAATATTCTTCATATCTATCTGTGTTAACTTCTTCTTCAACTCCCTGAATGGGATTTTGGTATTGTTCATTGATCCTGGTTCCTTTATAGGATATACATGTAGTTTCAGAGATCTTACTCCTTTTAAACTGAATATTATGAGATTCTTCTAATAATTCAGACACAGTTGAAATTGGTCTTTTTGGAGTAAGTGTTACCAAACTGTTCAAATTGCTAGGATCTGGAGGACTCCATTCCTGCGATTGACCTATGTACTTCTGAAATGGCTCATTAGATTTTGAATAAAAGTCGTACATTTTGATTTTTTCTGACCCTGCGCTTGATTGTGAAATCATAGTTGTTTGAGAAGGATTTGGGGTGCTTTGCAAATTTGAAAAGGGAGATAGTCCTTTGAGCAAAGCTGCTAAATAATCTGGCATATTGAGCGCAATGGCGAGCTTGACATGTTTCATGAAATCTTTCTGTGTAATATTCACTTTCAACCCATATACAAAGTCGAGCATGGTGTTGATATGATGGCTCGTAAACTCATTATGATGTTCACCAAACATGGATGATCTTATTTCAGTACATTTTAAACCAGAGACAAGACGGACTTCCCTCGGTGCTGCACAAAATTGTAACGCAAACATACTGTATTGTGTTAAAATTGCTTTATGGGCCAAAATCTCTGTTAGGTCATCCATTACAAACACAAGGTCTGCAAACCTCGGTATCTTTCTCAAAGCATGGAGTTTTCGGCCACTGACATCATTTTGAATTTTGATGAATTGTTTCCTTTTTCTTGAATTTGATGCCTCAATGGTCCATTTTTTGAGCTTCTTATTGAAGAAATGTTTCTTGTGCTCATAAAATGCAGATTTATTCAGAAGATTATCGCAATGTCCGCAGTGTTTAGGAAACGCTGAATAATAGTTTCTCCCCGGAGGCATGATATACGATGATTCCCGATAAATTATTCCAAGTTTAGTCCTTTGGTTTATCGTTTTCTTCTCAAGAACTTAAAATGGTTTAGTTGTAATACAGTTCGCTATATCGAATTTCAATCAATGATTGTTTTGTGCGCATGTTCCAGATGTTACAGCTTTTGAATTTGATTGGTTCATATTCTCACAAGTTATCGAAACCAAATGAATAATAGCTCGATCAATCTTTTTCGTTGATTTAGTATTTCCAAGATCAGTCAAATGATGTTGTTATTGTTGATGATGAAACTATCCAGAAACGCTGAGATATACCACCCGGGGATTTTCAGCGTTGTGAATACTACAAACCAATTTTGCGCATGCGCATCAATTGGTCAATTGAGCCGATTAAGCTGCAGATTGCCCTTAAAATTTGGAAGAGAAACGAGTAATGGCGACTGAGGGTGAGGCCATGTTTACTTATCTATATCTTATGCTTGGCACGCTGATCATGAATTTTTGTTCGATACATCGAGAAAGTATCACCTCATTACTAGTTTAGTGAATTTTGGGACAAGATTAAGCTAGATTTACTGAAATACTTGTATTATTATGCTTTGTCTTTGTTAACCCTTTTTCACCGGAATTTTATGAGGAAAAGTTTTGCTCTCTTTTAGTCTAATTGCCTTTCCTTTTATGAACTAGTGTTCATATTTGATTTTAATGGTTAATTTAGTTTTATTGGGACTATTACTATTTGAACTAATATAGTTCATTGCAACTATAGAGTCTACCTTGCAAATGTAATTTGAGGGGTGTGAGGATTGTGGAATAGCCCAATTATTTGTTCATTCCCATGGGGTTTGATCAGGGGGTGATTTACCCCAGATATGACGTACACCTATAATGTAAACTTGTATTGAGATGGTTGGTTGGTTGGGATGGTTATGTTGAGATGACGTACACTTCTGAAAGGTCCAAATTGATAAACAAAAATGGCGGATTTAAAATTTTCTAATAACGCTTCGAATAATATTATATGTTAATTCCTGGCGTTTTAACCAGTAAATATCAGTGGCGTAGGAACAATGTATGCCAAAACGCCAGTGCGTAATGTTGAAAAGTGATAATAAAAAATGCTTCTAATTTCCCTATGTTCTTTAGTCATATTTTCTCATTGTGCATAAATTTTAAAAGTAATCTCGAGCACACAAGCCTTAAGAAATGTTATTTTTAATACCATATGATATCCTCAAAAGTACTATTTTGCAAGGTTTTTTGCCTCTGTTATTTTTCTAGCCTGGGCCACAGATAAATGACATTTTTTTGAAAAATGAAATTCATAAAATATTTAAGAAATATAGACCAAAGAGCAGGGTTTCTAGTTTCGAATAACACCCAGCTGGTCTCGGCACAAACGTTTTCTGTACCCCGAACGACCGAAGGGAGTGAGGGGTTCGAAAGCTTTTGTGCCGAGACCAGCGGCGTGTTATTCGAAACTAGTAACCCTGCTCTGAGGTCTATATTACGATTCGAACATGAAAATTCACCAAATTGTTTCGAATATTCATCATGGTCCGCCATTACTACGACCCACCGTTATGACGTCACACATTACACGTATTAACTGGGTTATTAATCTCGAATATAACCCAGCTGAAGCATTGACTTTGATTACAGTTTTTGGAAGGCGTGAATACAGTCATGTTCGAATGAAAGTTACATGTACCTTGTTTCTTAATTATACTGTCGAAAGTGCGATGTAATCAATATTGCGCTGTTTGGATTAAATACTCACTTAACAGATTTAATCCCCTTTCCAACATGCTTTATTTTATGAAAATCGAGCCATTGACTATCTTATGAATTTTAAAAGTAAAATACAATTTCGCCAAATATTCGTGAATCACATTCACTTCACAAATTTGAGAGAAAAACAGTTTTTTCAAAAACTTGATGAATAATACATTTGCATTTTTTTGTGCATATTCCGTAATGCCCTTTCAAACTGTGGTATCATAATTATAGTGAAATTTTAGATATATATTTTTTATTATCCCTATCCCCAATTTTTCAATTTCACTAATTCAATTTATATTCCGTTGCTAGACAAAATCATTGACCGAAATTATATTGGAATGATAATAAGTCAGGAAAAAAATCTTATTTTCTTACTAAATCACTAATTGTTATTGGTAGTACTTACAGACAAAAACAACATGAAATTGTTGATTATTAAATTCCACGTTCCATTGATTTCAATGAGTTTTCGCAATATCTGCTCTTTGTAAGTACTAACATAAAGTACATAACTTCAGTTCTAGAAAAGCTTTTATCTGGATTTTTATTTCATTTGCAAGATAATAGATTATTATTCTCGGAAATATAGTATTTTTGGCACCCCCTTAGTCATATTGACCTCAATTTGACCTTTGTGAAGGGGAGGGGGGTTATTTGGTGTTGGGAATTGGTGTTATAAAAAAGGTTACAGACATTAGGGTATTAAATTTATTAATGTTCTTGATTGGGACCAGATGCACATTCATATAATGGAACTTGGCCGCATATTTTTCAGCATGTTGAAGTAGGGACGCGTACTGAACTAACTTTTGTATGATCATTGACAGGCCCGTAGCCAGGGGGGGTTTTTCACCATTTTGAGCACTTCTCAAGTGATTTTAGCCATATTTGGGCCAAAATTGTCAAATGTGAACCCCCCCTGGAAATTTTTGAAAAATGAACCCCCCCTTGGCAAATCCTGGCTACGGGCCTGATTGATTAGTTCAAATAAGTTCAGCTTAACATCTAGGTTAAAACTATTTTTATGAAAAATAACATGCTCCGTCACAGCGGACAAATCTTTCGATACTAGCCTGTGAGTATGTCAAGTATTTTATTCTAGACATTTTGCCAAGTGTCTTTGTTTGTGTTTCTTTGTTATCATGACCTACCTACCAGGTATATCAAAGCTCAATCGTTCATCACAACAGAATCTGGCTCAATCCCCACTTGACGCATTCAACCTATCACAACCAACCTTTCAACCAAGCAAAAGACCGAGAGGATCCCCAATAACACAACACAATAAACACAACCCATCGTCAATAAAAAATGCAATGGGGCATAACATAACTGACTCAAACCCTACCAAGAATACAACCAACTGTCAAACTAACACAACAGAATCAGGTACAACCCAATTAGAAATCAACTATGAATAAAAACAACCTATTGTTATATTAATAACAGTTGTGCACTGTGATATCAATATATACAAGCAATTTTATCTATCCAGAGACAACATCAATCACAAAACACAACCAGTAATACAAAATCATCAAAAAGAACAACCAATTGTCAAATTAAGAAAACAATAAGCATTCCCAATCCAGTCATCTCCCCAGCATTAAAGCAAGTGGGTGCAGCACCCATCTGAGATTTTTAAAAAGGCCTGCACCCACCTGAAAATTCATTTGTACCCACTTGAAAATGAGAAAATTCATGAAAAATGGGCATATTTTAACCAGTTTGGGTCTGAATTGTGAAATGACAATTTTGCACTCACTTGAGAAAAAATTCTGTGGAGAACATTGCAATACCAAACTAGCATAACATAACCAGCCACAACCAGATTAACAACCACTAACACAACTGACTATCAAACAAACACTAACATGATTGAGCACAACCCAATAAAAACCAAGACAACAAATCCAAGAACCAAACCAAACATAATACATTGTTGAATTAACACAACACATTCAGGTACTACAACCAGGCTGTTACACTAATATACAGGGTGTCTCAAAAAATGTACCTAAAAGTATATCAAGAGCACAGATAAACCAATCAATATTTTCAGAGCCAAAACATGAAAGTTTTCTCCCCAATACACCATTTTTATTTCAGTCTTGTCTTTTTGATGCTTTAACCCTTTACCTTTGACACCACATAATCGTTGTAACCTCATATTTCGATGACAGCCTGTATCCTTACTGCTACATTGTTCAGCACATTTGATAATAATTCCGGTGGAATGTTTTGGATTTCTCTTTGGATGTTGCCCTTAAGTTGTTCTAGGTCTTTTTGCTTGGAATTAGCATTAAAACACTCCTTCAAATAGCCACAGAAAAAGATGTTTGAGGATGACAATGACAGAACAAACACAGATAATCAGCTCAATTATCGGCAAATGATTCAGTAGTTACCTTCCAGAGTTAGGCAGGCTAGCCTGGAGACCAAATCATATCCAAATGTAAACACAGTGGTCTCAAATTGATACACAAACAAAAGCTACACTAGAATCCCAAGCAATGCAGTTTCTTGAACATCTGACCTCTCTGTATAAGGGGGCTATAAGACATTGTGAGGGCCTCCCTATTCACCATATTTGATGGCCCATACTTTTTTCTCTGAGGCTGTTTGAAGGACCACTTTTATGCTAAACCCAAGCTAAGAGACCTAGAACAACTTAAGACCAGCATCCAAACAGAAATCAAAACATTCCACCAGATATATATCAAATGAGATGAACAATGTAGTAGTAAGGAAAAAACGTTATCTTTTATCTACAAGACCATGCAAAAAAATGTATGAAAATATTGATTGGTTTGTCTGTGGTGTTGATATACTTTTGGGTACATTTTTTGAGACACCCTATACTCAACCAACTCTCTCCAACCAGAGACACATCAAAGACAAAAGAATCCATGCCAGCAATACCCTACACCACACTCGATTGTGCACAACATGCCACCTGGCCAATCCATTGTCAAATTAGCATAAAACAATATGGCTTAACCCAACAGCAAACTAGCATAACACAACCAGGCACAACTAAATAAACAACCACCAAACACAGCTGACTATCAGACTAACACAACACAATTGAGCACAACATGTTTTATATGTCTCTGATTAAACCAAGACAATAAATCCAACAAAACCAAACCAAACATAACACATTGTTGAATTAACACAACACGTTCAGGCACAACCAATAAAACACAACATGATCAGGCACAACCAATAGAACACAATCAAATTTTAATACAAATATTCCCAACCAGCTCCCTTCAACCAGAGATGATGTATAAAAGATGTATATAAAAAATGAAAAAATTCAGTGACCTACTTATTTTGTACTTTTAAAAAGTAGGTCACTGAATTCTATTATTTTTTATACATTTTTTAAAAACAATATTCTCTTCACTCTTATTAGAACATACTCAGTAAGTAATGTGTTCCTCAAAATAACATATACGACTCCAATGAGGATTGCATAAAAACATACACACTTACCTTAAACAATAAAAACAGAGCAGACCTACTCATTTATAAATTTCTTTATTTCCAGGGTCAAGCTCTACACCTGCTAGGCCGTTCACCCACAGTTTTCCACATCACTGCAAGGCCCTACTGGAGCAGCTAAATGTACAGCGTTACTATGGAGCTTTCTGTGATGTCATTGTTCGGGTTGAGGATTTTGAGTTTAAGGTCCATAAAAATGTTCTAGCAGCATTCAGCCCAAAGCTACAAACAATGTTGTTTGGTATGCCTGAGGAGTGTGGGAATGTCTTGATGATTAAAGATATGTCAGCCAATGGCTTCAGGTTTATTGTAGAATACATGTATACTGGTATATTAAAGCTTGACATTATGAACATACACGATGTGCTTGGATGCACTCAATTTCTTGACATGAGAGAGACAGAGAGGATCTGTGGAGAATATTTCAAAAGCGGAGGGAATGTAAATGTGGAGACAATAAAGGCGATAACGGAGCAGCAGCAAAATTCTTCATTTGTGGGTCAAAAACCAGTCGGTTCACTCCCTGGTGGCGTAGATCCAAATTATATAGAGGACTATCTTAAGATTATTGAATCGTTTGGAGGGGAAAATGGAACTCCGGTTAAAAAAGACCCTGGTGAAAGCCACGAATTTGTTCCACTTAATGAAGAGAGACCAACGGGGACCACTGTTAAGCTGACAGAAAATGGTGACAAAAAGTTTTATAGTCCAGGAGATAATTCAGAAATTGCAAAGAAAAGTTTGTTTAGTATATTTGGATCGAATGATAAGCCATGTCCAGAGAAGCAAGTAGAAGAACAACAATCAGATGAACAACATAATGAAGATTTACGTGATAACAATGTTGAACAAGACTCTGCTAGCAACTTAGATTTTCCAAAGGACAAACTCTCAAAGTTCAACAAGAAATTAAAAATCAAAATGAAAGGAGAGAGTGGTGCTACTGTAGAGAACATTGTTATTGTGAATAATGAAGACTATGAGACCATGGATGGATCTCCTACCAAGTTAGACAAAATGCAGAAACGAGAGAGAAAGAAGAAACGCCCATGTAGGATTAGAGTTAAAACTGAACTGGCTGAAGGTGAAGCTGATACGGAAGAGCTTGATCTTGATGAGGGAGGAGCCGGTGATGATGACAACCTAAGTACAGAGGAACACCCTTCAGTGACTAAGAAAATAAAACGAGGGCGTCCTAAAGGCAGAACTAGTGGTAAACATGCAAAGAAGGATTACTCATGTGAGAAATGTGGACGAACATTCATGAAAGAAAAGGCATATGAAAAACATATGGAGCTCCATGATAAAGAAGAACTTTATTCTTGCCACGTTTGTTGTAAGAAATATGCCCGTTCTTCAGAAATCACTCGCCACATGCGGATCCATACTGGGGAGTCTTTTGAATGTAAAGAATGTGATGTCACATATACATCGGTACGTGGCTTCAAAGCGCATCAAATTGAAATCCATAAGGATCCAAAGCCATTTAGATGTTCATTTGAAGGATGTGATTTTCACTCTGATAAACCAAGTAATGTACATAAGCACACAGTAATTCACACTGGAGTGAAGTTATATACTTGTGAAAGGTGTAATAAGTCATTTGCTCAGGCTAATGGCCTAACCAGTCATTTAAGGAGTTGTATGCAGGTTAGGGGCTACCTATGTGACCATTGTGGTGCCAAGTTCAACCATCTTGGAAGTCTCAAATCTCATAGATTAGTCCATACTGGTGAGAAGCCACACACCTGTTCACAGTGTGGAGCACGTTTCAGTGATCATAGGAACTTTAGACGCCACATGCGAATCCATATGAATGAATACCCATATGCCTGTGATTTATGTGATAAAAAATTCCGACATTCAAACTCTTTAAAAACACATATGGTGACTCACTCTTTAAATCCTACATCAAATAAAAGTCACTCACAATCTCAGTCTCGTAGTCGTGACATCACAAAGGTGTTGGCAGATGAGTATAGTAAGGATTTAAACACATCAAATAACCTTGCCAGAAATATGATTAAAGATTTTGATGTGGGAGAGATTCTAAGAGATATGCCCAACAATCCCCGTGATATTAACACACATCGGGATATGCACCAGGACATATCTACACATCGGGATGTAACTACACATCGGGACATAAACACACATCAGGATATGGCTACACATCGAGATTTACACCGAGATATGAATACACATGGGGGTGGGCTTATAATGGATAGTTCCCACTTGAACATTCCCCTGACTACCCGTATCCCTGGGCCTACTGGGACCTCACAAATAATCACAAACATGGCTACTCCTATTGGCTCAATGACACAGACTCAGCCAAACTCTGCCACCCCTCAAGACATGACCATGCGAGATATGATTAACAGCCCAGCAAATACATTGGTCCAAATGGGACATAGGGACACAATGACAGACTCTCAGCATACTATGCTCCAGAAATCAGCAGTTTTTGGTAATATTCCAGTGTATCCAGTGACTAACTCCAGTATGATGAAATCTGAGATGCCTGTGTCTGTTTATCAAGGGTTTTATATTCCCCAGTGAGTTCCAGTGGAACCCTAAATTTTGTTCAAATCTGTAAAGGGGCAACAGACATTAAGTCTATATTTTTGGATAGTTTGAATAATAACAATTAAGTATTAGTGTCTTGGGCTCTTAAAAGAGGGGTCTGTTCAGGGAGAGAAATTTCTACACCTTTATTTTGTGCCAAAGAAATGAAAGATGTTCATCTGTTAGTTCTAAACAATAACTGAAGAATTCCTCTTAACTAGCCTTAAATAGTTTGTCTTTGCTTTCGAATGCAACTGGATCCTTCCAGTCATCTCAAAGACAAATCGTTTTTAGAAACCTTGAGGCCAATGTTATAAAAATCCAAGGTCAAGGACAGCTGGGTTGGTGAAAAATCAAACAAGAGAACGTTACTGACGAAGGATGCATTTGCGTTTGAAAGCTATGACAAACTAAATTATTTAAATCTAAGGTGAGTAAAGCGGAATTTTTCAGTTAATATGAGTATTATCATATTTATGAATCCCAGTCAAGGGATTTAAGCTCAAGGCAATGTAAGTGAATTGTTGATGATTTTAATCATGAATGGATTGCATCAAGGGGCTGGTATCCTACTCTTGTGATTCACTCTTTAAAGACTATATCATGGCATGGTATTGAAAATATGAATGTATCAAAGTAATACTTTTAAGAAAGTACAATGTTTATTATTTCTGACAAATGCAAAACTCTTGTTATCCCAACGAACGAAGTTCGGTAGGGATATAGTGAAGCCCTCCGTCCGTCCGTCAGTCAGTCAGTCCGTCCGTCCGTCCGTCTGTCCGTTCGGAAGATAACTCGAATACTAGTAGACGGATTTTCTTCATATTTAGTGGATAGTTTTACGCAAAAAAAAAAGTTTTTCAAGATGGCCGCTGCTTTAAAAATGACGGGACTTTTTCGCAAAAATCATAAATTTTTCATTCTAAACCAAAGTAATTAATATTATTGTTTGAAATTTTGGTAGTATATTCACAACATTTATCTATTTGACATATATTCCGTGTTTTTCATCCTGACCCCCAGGGGCCGTGAATGGGGGGTCAGGAAAACAGAAATTTTCGCTAATTTTTAGATCTTTCTGAAGTATAGCTTTATTATACTCAAATGAAAGGCAATTAAGAGTAGATTGCAAATATTGTATCTTTTTTCTGATTCGAGCCTCGTAAAATTCAAAATGGCCGTCTAATGTACGATTTCGCAATAATTTTTCGATCCCTTCAAAGTATGGCTATATTATACTCAAATTGAAGGATTTTTGGAGTAGATCACAATTATGGTATTATTTTTCAGATTTGTACCTCAGAAAATTCAAAATGGCTGCTTTGCAGGATTTCGCAATTCTAAAATCAGATTTTTTCAATTTTAACCAAAGTAATGAGTATAATTGATTGGAATTCGGTAATTGATATTTTGTTCGTTGGGATTTGCTGCTCCGCGGAGTTGCCGTTATCTAGTTATACTCAATATTGTGTCATAAATATATGAATAGTTTTTACCTGATTAATTTGGTGTCTTTAGATGAAAATTAACTGTTTTCAAGAGGCATGGATGTCTGACTATGAAATCAGTTTGAAGTTCAGAAGGTTCCAAATGAAAACATTGAAAATGATGAGGCAATTTCTGCTCCCTGAATCTAAGAGTTGAGGAAGAACACTTATGTTTCTAGATAACATTTGAACAAACATTAGGTGTCCTTTCTAGATAACATTTGAACATACACAGGGTGTCCCAAAAAGGTGAGCTTCTTTTTGGCAAGTATTATATCAGCAATATTAATCGAATTAATTTCTATAAAGTAGCCTAAGGGAATCTTTAGTAAGTGATACAAATATGTGAGTTATACATGTACGTATAGTACAATTATGATTGTGATTATGGTCAAATTCAAAAATGCATCTCTAAAAATCCAACATCAGAGAGACCTTCATAGCATTTGTACAAGCTATGGGGTGATATCACCTGTCAATAACTTTTAGCCCCAAAATAGCTTTTCATATGTATATCACTTGCTAATCCTACCTATACTGTAATTCCTCAAAGAATGCAGCTTATCTATTGCTGAGAAAATACTTTTTAAAGAATGTGGCTCACTTTTTGGAACAATTTATTGATGATGTGTTTGAATTACCTGTTGAATTTATATAAAATTAGACTCTACCCAGAAGTCATTTATGTAACCTGGAATATATGATTGAGATGATAAAAATAACTAGACTTTGGAAATTGAACGAAGTTCAATTTCAGACTCCAGATCTAGACTGTTTTAAGCTCAGTCATCTAAAATAAGCCGAGTCATCCAGAATAAGCTGAGTCATCCAGAATAAGATGGATGTATAAAATAGGAAGGTAGGATAGGATAGAATGGGAAGGAACGATAGGATAGAATAAGAAAGAAGGATAGGATAGAACAGAATAGGAAGAAAGGATATGATAGGAGAGGATAGGAAGGAAAGGATACGAAGGAAGGATAGATAGGAAGGATAGGATAGGATCAGATAGGAAGGATGGATGAATTTTTCAATATTTTCTTTTCTACTCTTGACTTTCTATCAGGATACCATCAGATCGATTTTCCAAAATTTCAAAACACCATAACTTCCGAACTGGAAGTCGGATCTAAATTTGATTTAAAGATCCGGATTCCTGACAAAATTTTACCCCTAATTCATAACTCATACGTTAAATTTGGCGAATTTTTATTTTGACCTACTTTTTGGACACGCCATAACTTCGGAACCGGAAGTCGGATCGAAATTTGGTTTGCAGATTCGGATTTCTGAGAAAATTCTATTCTTAATTCATAACTCAAACGTTAAATTTGGAGAACTTTTTATTTTGACCTACTTTTCGGACACCATATCTCAAAAGTGGGTCAAAATACAATTTTCAATCTGGAGTCTAATAAAGACAGTACCCAAAAACTAAATACATCTTTAATGTTCATCTCCTTCTTAAAGACTGGTCTATATACTTTTTGAAAACCATAGATAAAAAACAGTCCAAGAATATATTGGCCTTTCATATAAAAATTAATTTTTAAAAATCTTTTTATTGAAATTGTGAAAAATGAATCATGAAGTCAAAAATCTCCACTGCTAAAATATCAATGTTGATCGACAAATGGAATTACATGTATATTACAAATTTGAAGAAAATGATATGAATCTCCCAGTTACTCTCCCAGGCCTGTGATTTTCTGTCCTGAAAACTGTCTATTCTATAATAGGGTGTGATTATGTACACTCTGTCTCTTATTTATTGGTGGCATTATTGTTCATCAAATTTTTATCTCTTATAGCCATAAACGGGACATGTTCACCTATTTACTGGATTGATAATGGCAGAGAGTTATTTTCAGAAAGATTTCTGTCCATTTCTTCACTTCAATGTAATTACATAAATATTCTGGTAATTTTCTGATGTGTAATCCCATCACATATTGGTTTTAAGGGTAATGTGTACTTTTAGCCATTTTGATGCAATCATCATAGAGTTTACATGTTATTTTAAATATGAGCTCCACCTTCCTGCATTACCTACATCTTTCAGTTTTGCAAAATGTACCTGGAAAAGAGTGAGGGGAATATTTTGTAAATAAGATTTATGAAAAATGAGAAAATTCAGCAACCTATTCTTTAAAAATATAAAATAAGTAAGTCACTCAATTTCTCATTTTTATACATCTTATATTAGGAAAATTATTCACTACACTCTTCTAGATACCTTAGTGCACTCTTTGTGTAAATGTGAAAGATGTAGACTCACTGTATAGTAAATGAGTTGTGAATTCCTAAAAATAATATGTGACTCCAATTACTCAGATGCGAGTAGGTAGGTACCAGTTTCGCCATCAGGTGGCTGATTCAGGGGAAATAATATGGCAAGGTATTACAAAATTCCCTTAAACTTGAATATTCATCAGTTTTACTGGTTCACTTTTCATATTACCCTTATGTATCTGATAGTTATACAAATTAAAGTATGTCCAGTAAAAGAAAATATTAACTGTCAAACGCAAGAAAAGATATTTCCATTTTTGGGATTTTACAACATGGGGAATCTCCCCGACATAGAAGTCACATTTTCAAAGAAAATTAAATTTTCAAAGTTGATAAACTCTTTTTAAAACATTTCTTGATGTAATTTACATGTAGATTCCAAATATGTCATCAGTTTGACTGGATTTTGAATTTTAAATGACGTAAATCAAGATTATTTCTACTCGCATCCAGGACATTAGAACTGCATAAAATTTACAAAAATTAAAAATACCCATCTACCTTAAAGCAACATTCTTAACTTTCATACCACAAAACATCAATGATGCAAAATATGAAATGAATTGTTCATCAGCTCCACGTAAAATGTGTGAAAATTTGAAGCAATTTTGTTGAGTGGTTTTTCTGGTATAGCAATGACAAGATTTACCTGAAAACTTCCAAAATGGCTACCATAAAGAAAGATAGCCACCAAAAGGTTTGTCAGATCTAGAACTTCTTACAATGTGACATGTGTGAAAATTTGAAGTAATTCTGTCAAGTGGTTTTCCTGGAATCCCGATGACAAGATTTATCTTAAAACTTCCAAATTGGCCACCGGAAAGCAAGATGGCCATCGAAAAGTAAATCAGCTCTAGAACTTCTTACCATGTAACATGTGTTGAAATTAAGTAAGTAATTCTGACAAGTGGCTTTCCTGGAATCGCAATAAACATCAATCAACCAGCCACCATGCAGATGACAATATCATAACCCTTTTTTAGGTGTGATAAAATACTAGATTCTTGTTGAAATCTGCATTGCCCTAATATGCTGTTTTAAGACTCTTAAAGAACAAACATGAAAAAGAGGGATATGGACTTAAAAAATTTGGGAAAAAAATATTTTGCAAAAGTTTCCAATAAAAGTTTAATTCAAAACAAGAGGCAAAATTAAGAGCTGGGACTAATAGCATAAATTACCTCTATGGATCCACATAAATGAAGAATGAATAAGTCGAATGGCAGTTTTCATTTGTCTAAAAATTGTTGATGGCCAGATCAACGAGGGTTGGCTCCCAGGGTTCAAACTCAATATTCTGCCAAATACGGATTCAAAATTAAACAGGCACCATTTTTTCATTCCAGAATTTGAATCTTGTTTTGATCTTATTTTCAAACCAAAAATTTGAAAACATACAAGAAGTGATCAAGATATTAGTTCAAATCTTTTGGATCTCTGAGAATTTATAGTCAGTTATGCCAGAAAATGATGACATTTTCAATGATGTCATCTACTAAGGTTAGGTTGCCATTCTCCTTGCAGTTTATTTGTGCGGACTTTACTGTAGACAAAGACACTGAAAAAATTGCTTGGAGATTAAGAAATATTGAGTTTGAACCCTGGGAGCCATCGAGCAATTCCATAAAGGCAATGAACTCATGATGTGAGCCAGTAACTAAACATATCGCTTCCTCAAAAGTCGTATCAACATAAAATTGATTTTTTCCTATGAAAAGTAACTTAAGCGTAATGATACTTTATTAATTGGAAAACTTTAAACTTCTGGTATTTAAACTCTCTGCAAAAGAAAGGACTGTTTTTTGCATGTATTGTCATACTTTTTAGATCAGGGAGAGACTAAGAATAAATTAGTCTTGGCACTTTAAGCATATTTCTATTTGTCGTCGTAGTTTTTGGAGTTAAGCTTTGTATTTTTAGGTGCTACAAGATACAGTCAAAACACAGCTTTCTTATATTTTATAGATGTGTACGTTAACTACAAAACTACATATGTATATATTTTAGGTTTTCTGAATAATGTCATTTTTCCTTGAAGACAAAACTTAGTAACTAAGATTTTTATGTAGTGTTTTTCAGCCAACCCTTATGTAGCCTTTCATTTATGTAAATTTTCAATTATGTAATTTTTTAACGTCTCATATGTTCTACTTATTAATCTCCTGAAAAGGCACCTAATTCCCACCATAAACACATAACATTTTAACAAGTTTTCAAGTGTAATAAAGTACTGCAATTACTTTATTCGGGTATGTAAATGTATAATATATAATGTACAGTGTCCAGTGTCAGAAATGTAAATGTATAATATATATCTACAGTGTCCATGCATGTAGAACTAGTCAGAACTGTCAGAGCTTGTATCCCTCTGGCTGCGCCCTCTCTTGAGACCAGTCCTGAAAGTAGAAAAATATACACATACAGAGTAAATGCATGATTTAATGCATGTTAAAATCCTAGTTAAATGGAAACGTGGTAATATATATTTTTAAACTGCTACATTAGAATTCTATGTTTACTTACTTCGAGGACGACTTCCGGGCGTCCCCCAGCTCCTTCAGAGCTCTGCTCCTGTTCCTTAGGGAGGTGGACTTATCATACACTGCTGTTTGCGTGCGTAGAGTGTGGCCCGCCTGCTTGGCCAATCCCATGGATGGTGCGTCTGTAGGGGTGGTGTCATAATACCTTGATATTCCTAGGTACCTGCACATTGTAATCGTTAAATTGGCTGGCGCATCTACCCCTGAGCTGTTCAGATATCGCCCCCACTCCGCATGTATGGCCTTGGCAACACTCTGAAATGATAGGTAAACAATATTTAAGGACAATAATAAACTCACACTGCACATTGAACTTTCACTACTAATCTTATCCTAGAGAAGTTTTTACAATAATTCAATTGATGATATTTAATCCACTTACAGAGGTAGTGACGGGCAGACCATCACGCGACACAAACACAATGGTGTTGTTTCTACAGGCCCTACGACAACAGGTGATGTAGGCCTGCACTGCCTTGTGTTGAATGGCTGTCAGCTGGACGTGGGCCTCTTGCGACTATGCCGTCTTGTGTTGAGCGATCTTGAAAACAAAGAAAGGAGCTGTCTTATGTTGAGCGGGATTGAAAAACATGTAAAGCCTAGCATAGGTACGGCATTGTGGGCAAACAAGTACCTCTCCAAAATCTTATGTAGATATTTCATAGTGCTTGGTAGACTAATTGTGTCTTGAATTGCCTACATTAATTTGAAGATACCACAAGTTATCAAATAAACTTACTTGGATATCCACGCGGCCATCTTCGAGAACCTTGCCTGCCGCAAACTCAGCCAAGGTCATCCTGGCAAGGTTCCCCCCTCTCCTGATGTTCTCCGCGGAGAGTACCAGATATTTAAAGTGCATTACGATAACGAGTCGCCTGCTGGCCTGCTATTTTTTCTCCAGTCTCGCCAGCCTCAACCAGCGCCCGCAATACCCCCTCCACATGATCTGAAAACAAATGTCATTCATTCCGAGATTATATATTTGAAGAAGAAAGAATATCTTTTTTTTTCATCAAGAGATTTTATTGCCATTAATCATTAAAAGTACATATCATACATGAGGGACCCAATCGCCAGTGGCAAAGAATATCTTTATCATCACATAAACTTTTTCATTGGGAACTGCCTTGGCATAGCAAAAAATAATACATTATTTACCTGAATTTGGGTAGGCTGCGAAGTGACCATCGTCAACCTCATCTTCAGCAACACCCGCGGCATTTGTCTTCACTTTGACCGACACCTGCTCCTTGGCCAGGTTAGCTGCTGTCGTGCTGAGCTTCGCCTCTATCTGCAGGTGTGCCTCCGAGGTGATGCTCAGCTCCTGCAGAAGGTCAGCCTCTCCTCTCACCCAGGCAATGAATCTTTTGGTGTTGGACACATACGTCCGCAGCAATCCAGGCGCGATCTTCTTCTCGCCGACTTGCTGGCGGAGGGGGTGTATTGGCTTGCCGATGTTTCTCAGGTCTTCGACACACTGTCGGCTGAAGCCAGCCAGCACCCGATGTATACCGTTGGCGAAACTATGCCAACTCCCATCGTGCCTGGCGAGGGACGCACTGTACTTGTCACTCCCCAGGTGACCAGTCTCTTCTCTGTAAGACTGGAAAAACAAATGTAATGTTGCTTGTACATCCATTAGACAGACGCAATGAAACTTACTTTACTATCATAAACAACTAACAAAATGACTGGCTAACCTTAAGCACAACATCCAGACGTTTCACAACCTCATCTGGCACCTCATGCGAACCCAGGGCGACCTCTGCCTGTGACGGTTGGCGCACGGCGTTGTCCAACCAGGTCTTCACCATCGCCGGGGTGGCTATGTCAGCATGCTTCACCACTAGATGCTGCTTCAGTCTACATGTGACGCTAGTGCAACCCTCCATTGGACACTTGTATCTACAATAAATACAAGTACAATAGTATTTTATCTGGGACGCCGAGGATGCCTTATTATGAAGTGTCATTATTATAAAATTAGTCTGAAATTAATGTACCTTGTCCTGGTGCTCTGTGGGCGCACATACACCTCGTCCGGGTGGCACTTCAGGTTGGCCTTCGTCTGACAGCACACGGGACACATCGACTGGCCCTTGGGGTTATCACTGTAAAAGTAGAGAGAACAATAAGTACAATTAGGTAGATTTTCACAGCAGATTTAGTAGAGATTTTTTTATTATTTATTATTACAACATACCTGACGGCTGGCCTGTTCCGCGATACACCCCTCTTGTATGGTCTTGTACTGGGAAGAGGTGGTGCTGGCCTACCTCTCAGGCTAAGTCCGTCTCTGTGCTGGAAGAAAAATGAATTGATTTATGATATGATTCAATACATACAGCTAGGCACAAAATTAATGTAGACTGACATAAAAACTGAAATGAATGCATAAAATATATGGAGTTAGTAACATACCTTGTACTGGGAAGAGGTGATGCTGGTGCTGGCCTACCTCTCAGGCGCGGTCCCGCCGTCTCTTCACTGGAAGAAAAAGGAATTGATTTAAGATATGATTCCATACATACAGCTAGGCACAAAATTAATGTAGACTGGCTCGGCAGCCAGCCTGCGGTGCGCTCGTGGATGGGGAGACATGGCATCATCTAGCATAAACCGTCATGGACAAATATATTTAAGTAAGAATTTCATCGTTAAAACGTGCATAAAAGTTGGTTTTAGTATATAAATTGCAATTTCAGCGTGAATATGAACATAAATACTAATATAATAAACCATGTAACATGACATATAGAAAATGTTCTTACCAGGAGGGGTCCCTAGGCTGGAGCCACTCGGCGGGCGGGGTGAGGGGGCACAAGAAGACGAAGACAGCGGGTGACGGGGAGCACAGGGGCCACTGGTTTTCTCCTGAGGGGGCAGCGGGGGACAGCGGGGTCCCTAGGCTGGAGCCACTCGGCGGGCGGGGTGAGGGGGCACCAGGTGACCAAGACAGTGGGGCAGCGGGGGTCAACAAGGATGGCTGCTCTTCTCGGCTAACTGCAATTAAAGTGTATAATGTGGTCTTTTCTCATATAGATAGACTTCAATGTAAATATATTTAAGTTAGAATTTCATTGATAAAACCGCCATAGACAATATATTTAATTATGAATTTCATCCTGAAAACATGCATAAGAGTTGGTTTTAGTATATTTCAACGTGAATATGAACATAAATACTGATATAATAAAAACATTCATTAATAATAATAATAATATAGACAATGTTTTTACCAGTAGGGGTCCCTGTGCTTGAGCCATGAACACTCGGCGGGCAGGGTGATGGGGCTGAAGACAACGGGGAAGACAGGGGCCACTGGTCTTCTCGTGAGGGGGCTGCGGCAGTCAGCAAGGACGGCGAAGAAGTTGAGATGGCTTCATTACATACAAGTGTCTTATCTATGATGTTGTCACATCTAGTTAGAGATATTGAAAGTTTTGGCTTCAAACAGCACTGTATTTTATTTGTGTACTGAAATCCGTCACATCTGCTAATTTTTATGTATGCTCTTGGTGCTGTCTGTCTGTCTCTTCTCGGCTAACTGCAATTAAAATGTACAATGTGGTCATTTCTCATATAGATAGACTTCAATGTAAATATATTGAAGTAAGAATTTCAAGTTAAAACCGTCATGGATCAATATATTTAAGTTAGAATTTCATAGTGAAAACATGCATAAAAGTTGGTTTTAGTATATAAATCGCAATTTCAACGTGAATATGAACATAAATGCTGATATTATATTATATTATTTAGTAGAGATTTTTTTTATATTATTACAACATACCTGACGGCTGGCCAGTTCCGCGATACACCCCTCTTGTATGGTCTTGTACTGGGAAGAGGTGGTGCTGGCCTACCTCTCAGGCTAAGTCCGTCTCTGTGCTGGAAGAAAAATGAATTGATTTATGATATGATTCAATACATACAGCTAGGCACAAAATTAATGTAGACTGACGTAAAAACTGAAATGAATGCATAAAATATATGGAGTTAGTAACATACCTTGTACTGGGAAGAGGTGATGCTGGTGCTGGCCTACCTCTCAGGCGCGGTCCCGCCGTCTCTTCACTGGAAGAAAAAGGAATTGATTTAAGATATGATTCCATACATACAGCTAGGCACAAAATTAATGTAGACTGGCTCGGCAGCCAGCCTGCGGTGCACTCGTGGACGGGGAGACATGGCATCATCTAGCATAAACCGTCATGGACAAATATATTTAAGTAAGAATTTCATTGTTAAAACATGCATAAAAGTTGGTTTTAGTATATAAATTGCAATTTCAGCGTGAATATGAACATAAATACTAATATAATAAACCATGTAACATGACATATAGAAAATGTTCTTACCAAGAGGGGTCCCTAGGCTGGAGCCACTCGGCGGGCGGGGTGAGGGGGCACAAGAAGACGAAGACAGCGGGTGACGGGGAGCACAGGGGCCACTGGTTTTCTCCTGAGGGGGCAGCGGGGGACAGCGGGGTCCCTAGGCTGGAGCCACTCGGCGGGCGGGGTGAGGGGGCACCAGGTGACCAAGACAGTGGGGCAGCGGGGGTCAACAAGGATGGCTGCTCTTCTCGGCTAACTGCAATTAAAGTGTATAATGTGGTCTTTTCTCATATAGATAGACTTCAATGTAAATATATTTAAGTTAGAATTTCATTGATAAAACCGTCATAGACAATATCACCCTGGACGAAGTGATAAGGTCAAATCAAGTGGCTCTGATTTAGGAAAAAACGATCTTCCTAAAAATAAACATGGCAGAGCAGGGGTGAGTTTATTTCTTTAAATTATACCCTTTCTTGGCCACCTGACATGTTCAAACTCGGTACATTGATCCAAGACATATCCACCTCTCTATATATAATATTGTAACGATTAATACTAAGAAACGAAATGAATACGAATTGAAATAATATATTTTTGTAAATAACCGCAATATTTTTTTTTTATTTTTTTCGAAAAAATGGTAGATACTCTGTTTCAAATGCATTGATATTTGGCGATATGATAGTTTATGAACCAGGGAATGTCATATCACCATTATTTTTCTAATACAAGAAGTAATTTACGTCCCTGAGACGAGATTAGATTTATTTTCTGGAAAAAACGCGGCTCTGATTCCCACAGAATATATGGAAAATACGTGGAATGGATGTCTAATTGATCACTTGTTTACTTTCAGGTGTGTAGGCTTTCAATGCTACCATTGTGACGGGAAAACGAAACAATTTAATGCAATAATACAACACTTGATTTTAAAACATCCTGAAAATGAAATGAAAATCAGAAAATTATTAATGTGAATGGAACGATTAAATTGATAACAAAAAATTTCTCAGATGTGATTCCCAGTGAGATCGAAGCCAGTGGCAAAAAATAGTGATTCAGGATCAGGACTCCATGACAATATCAATAGCCCAGTGCAGTACTTGGACAGTGATGTTCCCCATGTATCTAAATGCTCAAAATTAGATATTGACAGTAACAATGAAATGAAATGTCGTACAACAATGGATAATAACATTGAAAAAGAAAATGAAATTGAAAATAAAATTGAAAATGAAACCACCAATGAAATCACCAATGAAATGAATGATATAATAAATTCGTAAAGGCTAGAGTACCGACAATTGTCGGTACTCTAGACTCTGAGGTGGTGGCACGCTAGAGGACCGACACATAAATTGTCGGTACGGGAGATATGATGTGTTTACACGCTAGAGGACCGACAAATATTGATTTTCGAATTTTCTGGCGCATGCGCAATGCGCGGGGGGATATTTCAGATATCATACGGATATTTTGGGAACAAGTGCAAAACCCGGGGAGGGCATTACCAAACCCAGTCAAAAAATGGTAGCCCGGGAACAGGGAATGGTAGTAAACGTTGAAAACCCAATATAAAAAACATGAACAAGTAAGACGTTAGAAAGCTATTAATGCAGAGTAAACGGCTATACATATTCTAAACAGACAGGATATTACTCCTGAGTCGATCAGGCGTAGAAACGGGCGTTTGCTACCCATTAGATAGAAGAAAATAGCTAGAATGTTTTTTATTTGAAGCTTATGGTATGAGGTTCCATATCCATCCGCCAAAAGGTATGACCCCTATATAGTCCATTTAAAAACCAGTGGTATCGTTCTAAATAACCCATAGTTGGCTTCTAGGGTACCTAGTATGCCACTATTTGGTATCAAAATAAAGAGGAGTTCAACTTTCATTTGAATTACGAAAATAGCGATGTAGGTCAAAATAGTTCCGAACGTGAGCATGTTTACTACGCGTTTGCCCGTCATATCAGAATTGAGGAAGTGGTAGCAAACGTGAGTTACAATAAACGGACGCTGATATCTCAAAAAGTAACCCGACTCCCTATAATTTGATGTAGGTCAATCGAACCCCTATTATATATGGACAGGTGCATTTTGATATATAACACTATGGGGGGTAAGCGTTTCATAGTTGGTCACGAACGCCATATGTGCAAAGTATTGTTATGAATTTTCGAATTTGGTGTTGGATTACGGTACTCATACCTTATAGCACAATTTTTGATGGAAGTTGCATTTGGCTCCCTTAGTTAATGGCCACGATTCCATCTCGCATGAGAGAGCTACCAAACGCAAAGTAAACAGTGATATATTCCAAATGAGATATTTCTCCTGTGCCATGGCGTAGTAAGGGTAGAGAGCGACGGGGGCGAAAGCATCCCCTCCCCTAACTGTATATATCGACCCATTAGATAGAACAAGAAAAGAGCTTTAAAATGTTTTTTAATTGAACCTTGTAGGACAATTTTGATGGAAGTTGAATCAATTTTTGTCGAAATAAATTATGGCTCAATACAAGTTAATGCCTGTGCGATTCCATACTGCAAAAGAAGCACTATGCCCCCCCCCCTCAAAAGAAAAAAGCAGGTCCTGCCGGGATTCGAACTCGGGACCGAGTGTGTTCGAGTCGTGCTCGCTAACCACGAGGCTACCACGAGGCTGCTAGTAAAAGTAGTCGATTTATTTAGGTGACGATAGAGTGCCGACAATTGTCGGTACCCTAGCAAATACCCCTGGACAGTCTCCAGTACCGACAATTGTCTGACGTGTCGCAAAAAGGTGGCGCATTTGTTTTTTAAGGGTATCGCGTGAATGTAACTTTGATTCCCCGGATTATAAGATAATATTCTAATTAAAGTTATATATCATTTTAAAGCTGTTTCGATGAAGATTTTAGATCAACTACACTCCGTTCACATTTTTTGCGCGTTCGTTTTTAAAAAAGAGTTTTTTACCAAAACATCTGGCAAATATCCCATGTTGACACGTTACATTTTGAATTATTTTTCGTCTTTAAACGCTCATAACTCAAACAATTTATGACTATTATACTTATTTTTCGTCTTGATAAAGGTAGATGGAAGTTTTATTTCAAAGGATGAATTTTAGTAAGCGTCCCATATTGTGACGTCATAGAGTCTGAAAAATAGAATCTGTTGACAGCGACCTTTTTTGCTCATTTTTTGGTACCTTCAACTTTTCAGGTGTACATTAAACAAAAAATACGAGATCAATTTTTAATAAATCATACATGATTATTTTGCTCCTAAACTCTAGTTTATTAACAAATAGTTGATTTTGTTCACAAAAGTATGTGTTTTCTGTTGTATGTGGAAAAGTGGAGGACGAAAGGTTTTCAAAATTCATTAAAATAGGGCTAATTTACGCCATTCGCCTATTTTCAAGCACAGCAACACGTATATTTATTTCACCTAAAATATCAATTGATTCGTGTTTTATGATGCTCCTAGCCCATTAACGATATATATATGATATCAGAGTTACTCGTCTAAAATGTTTTGAGATATAGAGGTAAATGTGGAGGACGAAAGGATTTTCATTTGTGTACATTTTTCTCAAAAACGTCACATTCTATCATGTTAAAAGCGAGGATCCTATGGATTACGCCACAAAATGTGTAACAATGCGTGCGCGAGCTTTTTGCGACTCTAAAAGTAAAAGTAGTCGATTTATTTATGAAATTGTCGGCTCTCTAGCAAAAACACGTAGTAGCCACTTGCGTACCGACAATTGTCGGTTCTCTATCTGGCACTACTAGGTGACGATAGAGTGCCGACAATTGTCGGTACCCTAGCAAATACCCCTGGACAGTCTCCAGTACCGACAATTGTCGGTCCTGGAGCCACTCCGTAATAAATTTGAAATCTTGTCACAGCAATGAAGCACACAGTTCCACAGATGGCAATGCAACGATACAGATGATA